CCCAGCAGTGGTGTGAAAGGCCCAGTGGTTCCTGCATTGTCAATTCAAGTACTTATCCTGCCATTCCCAATTTATTTCATGTGGTCTCTGCAATCTCTGCATTTTCTAAAGTCAGAATGGTGATGAATCTATTCTTGTTCCTGAAAGGATGCAAAAGAGGGACATCAGAGCTCTGTTAAATACTTTGTTGTCAAGGATTTTCAGAACTACAATCTGGTTTTTAAACACAAACTTGCTAAAAAATCTATTTAAGGGAGTACACAATTATTAGGAGTGATGGTTGTGACAGTAACAGGCGTGAGATTTCAGCTGTTCCTGTGAGTGACTTGGCTGAGTGGTTTATGACCTGATTTGCAAACCAATAGTTTTACCTGTACAATGTTGGGGCAAACAGACTCAAAGTGCAATTACAAACGAGATCCAAGCTGTTACTAGTTTAAATCAGAGTAAAAACACACCAACCTGGGAATGATAAACCATCAGTGACACTATCAGTAACTCACAGTAAATTAACTTTTGCAGCCTGGTCTGGGCTGAGTGTCACAGAGCAGGAATGTTTTATCTGGCAAGGGCTGTGATCCCACGTCTGGGTGCTGTGTGATATGGAGGGATAGCCAGAAACTTTCAGCAAAACAATTTCTCATCTGAAAATATTAGTTTATCTGGCCCACAACTTTTGGCAGGGAATTCGAGCTCCAGCAAAGGTTAAGGCATTCACCAGCCATGTTTGTTATCTAAACCTGATTTTCTGAAGCCCTGTGTGAGTGCTCAGATTTCTGAGACCCTGGCTGCACTGGCTGACTTTCTCTCAATCCCCTATTCTTCAGAATTCAATTTTGACACTTTTGAAGTTTTGGRTCTATTTCTGGCCACCTCTACCAGTGTATCCCTGCTTGGTGTTTAAATGGCAGGAGGAATAGCAAGGAAGCCTTCGCTTCAAATCCCAGTTCAGCTCAGCACTTCTGTAAATTCGAGAATTTGCATAAAAACATCAAGTCTCTGCTGCTGTTTCTAATTTGGGCTTTAGGAGAAAATGGTTTTAAAGAATCTGAGAGTGGAACAGAGGGATGTCTACAAGCCTACATAATCTCACATCTACATGCCTACTTTTTWAAAAAAAAATTTCCAGTCCTAAAGCCCAAAGTGGTTCAGAGTTGTTGACGTAAACCAGATGTTTAAAGGTTTGTCCACATGCAGCAGCTGAGCTGTGGGGTCCAGGATAAGTAGAATTTGAACCATGCCTAATTTTTAGTGAGTTGGGTTGAGGTTCTGCTCTCGTTCTGCCCTCTATCAAATTTTTCTGCCCAAAAGTTGTGCTGGGGCTGGTGGAGAGACATGAGGCCACAAGGCTGGGCTTCCTTTGGAGCTTGGAGAGCAGCAGGGCAAGGGGTGCCTTGGCTGAGTGCAGGGGGGTTCTGCAGAGGAGACTGAACTCATCTGCAGCTGGARACCTCACCAGCACAACCCAGTGAGCTGCTCCATCTCCCATCACACTGTTCCACTGCTGCACTCATTGCTGTGGGAGGCTGAGGTGGCCAAATGGTGCTCAAATGGTGCAAAAACCAATTAGATGAGCTCATGGCAGAGAGATGCAGCAAGGGCTGTTACACACAAGGAGGCTGCAGAGAGTCTCTAAGCCCACATCACTGGGGCCCRTCAAAGCACCCCAGGCAATTTCCTTGTGTTTGTCCTGCTTTTGAGCTTTTCTGCAGACATCCACAACTGTTTGGTCTTAGAGACACAGTCCTGGGCTAGAGGGACTGGAGATCAGAGCCAGYGTGACCATTCTCATAAAGCTGAAGGAAATGGTTTTAGCCAACTCTTGAAGATGTGGTGTCTGTAGGATCTCTTGGGTGAGTGATGTGAACTCTCAGTGTGTCTGAGAGCTGTTTTGTGCTATAAAGAATCTCAGCTCTGTGTTAGGAGACAGTCCTGAGGAAGCTGGCAGTCATTCCTGTGTCCTGCTAGAGAGCATTGTGTCTGTGCTGGGCTCTGCATCACCTCACATTTATAAGAAGAGGGTAGGAAGATATAAAAAACAGCAGAGGATTATTTGGCAATTCCAGTGTCACCAGGAGCTGATCCCAGCAGTTCAACATAATCACTGAAAGAGGAGAAAATCCGGGAGATTTCACTGGAACTGAGCAAGAGCTTGACAGCTGGCAAATGCTAATGTAAGTAGGCAATTGGGAGCGAGGGCTGGAGGGAGGGTGGTGTCATTTAGCATCGCTTACAGAAGTGCCATTTAAGTCTGCAGAGAGAGAGCCTGTGGAAAATGTGTCCCTTTGTGCTCAGCTCCCCTGCCCTGTCCCACGTGCCTGTCCAGTCCTGCTGTGCCAGTGGCATTTTGGTGTTCATCTCATGCAGGACATCTCCAGAGCAGCCTGGGYTGGCCCAGCCCAAGGAAATCTGCCTCCTCCTTTGCTGGCTGGAGTGTCAGCTCAGAGAGGCTGGAGCTGAGCGGGAGCATCCTCTGCCTTTGCTGATGCTCTGGTTTCTGCCCCAGGGATGGGMTGAGGAGGAGAGCCAGTGGCTGGAGCAGGGCTGGGTGTCCAGCCTCAACACACCAGCAGGTTTTTCTCCTATGAATTGCTGCTCAAATAGCCAATTTCTGCCAGGGGAGTAAAGGCTGGTAACATCTGTGTGTGGCTGTTGTGCTTTTGCTGCTGGCAATATTTCATGGTTCTAACCAGTCACTGGTTTCTCTGGACACTCACCATCCCATTTCACTTCTGTCTACTGCCCCTCTGGACTTCTGGCAAGACTTTGTCACCAAATGAAGCCAAATCTCTTTTTAGGTAGTGGCAAATGTGGCCATTTTTGTTGTATTAGAGGTATAATTCTCACATGAACACCAAACCCAAAGCACTGTTCTTGCAGCAGCAAGTCGAGCATCCACGCTGGGCTGCACACAAGGTCTGCCCCAGCTCAGTCCACGATTCCATCAGGGTAGTGTGAGGAGTATTCATCCAGCAATATCCTCTTCTGCACCCAGGAGCTTTTCTCTCTCTATTCTTCCTCCCTGTACAATTAACTCTTTAGCATTTAACAGCTCAGAAAATTTTGATTGTATTCCAGTGATGCTCTGTGAGCACTTTCCASAGCCTAATGTTCCAAAATCTCTCCTGGCCTGCATTTCCAGCAGCATTCTCCAGAACCAGTTGAGCCACATTTCGCTGTAATGTCAAAATCATACTTTTCTGCATCTAAATAATAATTTCATTGTCTAAGGACAAGGTTTATTTACTTTCAAGCTGCTGCTCTGATATTTTCTCTCACAAATACCTGATCGTGTTATATATCCATGCTGGACACTGTGCTTTCCTAGAGGAAAAGATGAAATAGAGAAGGTTGCAAGTGCAAACCACATTCCTGTCTCATTTCCTGAGTGGCATTGTGCAGCTCAGAGTTTCACAGGGATCGTTTCCTATCACAGACCATGGGATACACTCCAGTAATTCTCCATAGAGGCTTAATATTGAACAGATAAAAGTAATGTTGAAGAATTATTTTCACAGGAGCCTGTTTTGCWTTTTTGCCCATTTTAATAATAAAGTTCTGCAGGAAGAGAACATCTGGGTTTCTGTAATCCAGCCTGCTTTTGTGCAGGTTACCTTTGGTTTCCTGGGAAATGTTTTGTCTTCAGGTTCTTGATGATGAGTTGTATTTGGCTGTTTCTGCAGCTGTCCCTGAAACAATATCTTACCAGTGATAGGTTTCAGGAGCTCGTGGGTGTGTTAATTTGAATTAATTATAGCAGATTTGACTTGCCTTTGCTATAAAATTGACTTGCTTAATTCACCCACTAGACATTGTCAYTATTAAATCCAGAATGTTTATGAGGATAAAGGTCTTGGGATTCTGGTGACCCTCCTAAACACTTAATCAGAGCAGGGCTGAAATCAGTCAACTGTAACATCCCATGCCTGTATTTAGGGTKRRGGTCATCCATAAATCCAGGTGCRTGCAAATCTTAAACTCATYATGATTTGATGTTATTCTACTTTGGGAAGTGTGGGGGGTCTCTGCTTTTCTGGGGAAYTGCATTAACCATGGATTTTCACTCTGTGTTTCCAACACCAGCAAGAAATGCTCCTGGCAGGGAGAAGAGAGATGTGAGACTTGTCACTTCWCTAAGGGACAGCTGTGATGGGGACAACTTCATTATGATGGCTCTGGGGGCTGGGGCTGCAGCTGGACACCCTGGGCTTGGCAAACCCTCAGGGCAACCAGTCCATGGCCAAGGACCAGTGCAGCTGCTTTGGTGAATTGAGATGTGACAGCAGTTCCCACAAAACCTCTCATCTCCTGGGAAATCCCTGTGTTTGGTATGGGGGAAGAGGCTTGTGCTGAGCTCAGAGACACTGGAACACTCTGGGCTGGGGATGTTRGTGTGCAGCTGCAGAGCTCTTTGTATGGTCTGAGGAGGGACAAGCTTAATCAAAGGGCACACATTTCTAAGGGTTATTTTTTTTTACCTTGTGTGCTGATGTTTCCCTAAGGAAAATCTTGTATTGAAGTAACGGTGCTGAGCTAGCAGCCCCTGTTTGTGCCTTTTAAATTGGAAATCCAGAGGGGATGGCAGTCAATGTTCATGTGAGGAACACATCAAGTGGGCAAGAGCAAAAGAAAAAAAAATAATTAAAATATTACCGTAAGGAAATAAATTTTTAAAAGGAGACAAAGAGAAAACCATGGGCCCTGGTGTGTGGGGATTTACCTGGGTGGTCCAGAGATGTTGGACCAGGAGTCCTGTCTGCTTTTCCTGGGCTGTGCTGGCAGGACTGTGCCCCTGCAGTGCCACTACCCTTTGTGCTGGAATGTCACCCAGCTCTTGTGCATCACTGGGAAAGGGTTCCACTTTAACCCTTCCACCCATGTTTTTTACCTACCTGAAGAATAAGTAGAGCAGGAAAAAGAGATGATTCTGTCAGCRATTCCTGGATGAGCTGTAATGTGAGGCTTTTTACCTTTCAGTGAGAATGGGAGAATTATACACTGCCCTGTCGAGCCAGGCTCTGATATCCTGCCCACACAGGTGTATGGATAATTTCTCTTTTTATATTCTTAACATCAACACACTTCACCCCAAGATTAAGACTGCTGGTAAGTCAACTTCATTGGAACATTGCACTATGTAAGCTGAATTTTTATAGCTAATAAGTGAAAGAAATTTTTTGTCCTTTTACACGTCCTTCTCTGGGGCTTTGTCTTCATTATCATCTGAGATGGTGAAAAGATCTGCTCCTGTTTTGTGACCACAGCCAGGAGAGCAGACTGTGCTGCAATTTTTCAAAGAGGCTGATTTCTTCTTCAGAATTAAATGTTTGGTTAATAAAATGAGCAGGTTTGGGGACTGCAGAAGACACAGGGGTTTGCAAATGTGATGAGTGGCTATACAAGGCCTCATGGGTCATTGGTGCAATGATCTCATCCTCAGAATGATTGGAAGGATTTGTGTGGCAGGAGTTGTACATAGAAGAGATGGGCACAATCTGAACTGAACAAAAACTGGAAACAGATTATTGAATCCTCAGAGTCTTTTGCATGCAATTAGAAAACTGCTGTAAGAATGAGATAACCTGTAAATAGTTCAATTAGAATTTCTYAAGCATTGTTTAAGCTATATTTTCCATACTAATATGTGGTGTTCAGCCAATGTAGAGTTCAAGGGTTTGGCTGCCTCCTGTTTTAGACAATCATCATGGTTCAGCATGGAATTTGAGGACAAATAAGCTATGGGGAAATAGAATCAAGATAAAATTTTGCAGTGAAGTTCACTGAAATGGAATTGACTGGGAATAGCATGGAATGATGGAAGTCAGGATGGATGAGACCTCACTGAGCTCCTGCTCCTCTGAGGATGCAGACCTGAAAAAGTTATCCAGAGATAACTTTGCAAGAACCTCTTCCAAGTGACAGTTTTTCCTTGAATCTTGCTGTAGCAATTAGTAATGATTTGTGGTTAGAGTAATTCCATATTTCGTTYGTTGTGTTTATTGCATAGAGCATTAGCACACGGAGTAATGAACCTGGAGCAGCTGAATGCTTTGGCTGASGGTTTCCTCACGTGATGAAGCTGGTTGGTGATCAATTATGTTTTGTTGTTCAGGAAAATGCTGTTTCTGGGAGCATTCTTTTCTGTGTGGTTACAGGGGAAAGCAATAAGCTTTAAAATTATTGTATTCTAAGTAGTTCTAGAAGTCCTAGTATTGAAAAAATGAAGCTAAAAAGTTATGTTTCCTATGGGGTTTTCCATTCRTTTTAATCATATTATTCTTCCTTTTAAGGAGTGTCTCTGGGGTGCTCAAAAAACACGGAAATTGATATTATCTCCTTTGGCTACAAGTTTTCATGGTAAGTCATGAGACACAGAATTTACCTGACACCTGATTTTGTCTTGGCCTTAAGAACATTTTCCACAGCTCTGCACATAGGCACAATCCCCTCCTTGCTCTGGGCATCCTTCAAACCTGTCAGAAATGCACATAAAAATCAGGTGTCAGGTATCTCAAGATCAAATCAAATAACCCCACAACCACACGAATGCAATTAAGATAAACATGCTCACAAACCCCCAACAGATTCCACTCAGCCCAGCCAATCTCCTGGATGATAATTAGTATGAGAGGTGGCTGTCTGGCTATAGTCTGTGTCTTTTCTATAAAATTACTGAGGTTTTCAGTTTTCTTTTTTTTTTTCTCCTCCAAATTTTTATGTTTGGTGCACACCAACTGTTTCTTTATTCTTGCCTTAGGAGTTTTATAATTTTGCATGTGTTTTTAGCTGTCTGCTTAGGGCTGTCTGTCCACGAGCTCCCAGGCAGGCACACATCCATTCCTGATGAATATCTTGTTTTCTTTAGGCTCCCCCATCAGCTCCCCCTTTGGCTAATGGAGCACGTGGTCACAACCATCCTGCTGGCTGTAAAAAAAAYACCTCTGCAAATCCAGGTTGATAACCCACATGAGGAAAAACAGTGCAAAGAAAAGCTTACAGTTACAATGAAGGAAACTGCAACTAAAATTTGGTTCAGGGAATAGAGCAGTGGTTCACTTAATGAATAATTGCTAAAGGAGCTACACATATACACACAGATGAGAAAAATCAATATGGTTGATGAATCCTCTTCTATTTTACGGTCTGGGATAATTCATTTCTAATGACCCTCAGTATTTGTGTGTGAGAGCATCAAATAARAGAAAGGGCAGTAACTGTCCCAAAAATTTGGCTTGTGCAGAAGATCAGCAAACCAGTTTTTATTGTTGGGGCTTTTCAAACTCCAGGAAGTGTAAGAGAATTTAACAGAAAAATTGAATTGAGTACACAGTTGAATCACAAAGAGAAAGAACTATTTTATGTATTAAAAAGTGCTTCTGATGACATCTATTTTCATGATAGTGTTTTGTGGAATGAATGGCTTGGACAAAGGCACTGGTAAATCACCCGAAACAAGACTGCCTGACACTCAAATAGCTGCTAATGGTAGGTAGCTCCTTGACTCCCTGTTACATCTCTCTCTTGTATTTAATCCTTCTCAGACCATTATGCAGAAGGACACTGCTTTGCTTAAAGGGTTATCAGTGTCACCAGGCTCTGGAAAAGATCTGGGGATGTCTCAGCCACCTTTTTGCAGATGGGATTCATGTGTGCTTTTGAAAGTAAACAGAGTCTCACTGAGGCTGGAAACCTTCAGAGAGGATCCCTGGAAAGGTTTTTCCTCCACTTCATGGTGGTGAATCTCCCAGGAGAGAGGAGTTATCAGCAGTCACCCACCACTAACCATGCAGAACATTTTCCATTTTAACTCCTATTTTTGCARCTTTTCCAGGGGAATATTATTTACAGAGAGGAGTTGAAATCCCCCTTAATCTGAACAGTATCTTTGGGCTCTGGTGCCCCAGTCTTGCCTTGTCTCCAAAGGGTGTTTCTATAGCAACTCCCCAGGGAGTTTTCCTGTTATCTGGGTGAAGTTAACTGGAAACAAGTAAATATACTTGAGATGAAGTGGTGTTGGGGATGACTGATGAGGCCTTCAGAGCATGAGCTGAAAAAAAGCTGAATTATTTGCAGAATGTAAGAGGCTTGAAGCTCCTGCAGTCAAAGATTTTGCCTGAAGAGCGTTTACCCTCTGTTGTGCCAGCACAGTCCCAGGTACAGGAACATTTTGCTGCATTAATAATAAAGCATATGGAGCYCAAACCAGCCAAGCCTGGAGGTGCCTTGCTGGGGAATGGGATTTTCACAGGCAGTTTGAGAAGATCGATTGTCCCCGTTCCAACCAAATTATAATAAACCTGGTGTCATGTCTCATTAGCAGGCATTTCGGTGTGGTTTCATACTCTGTGGGWGAGATCCATCTCCTGGCTCATCCAGGGTGAAGCAGCACCTTCAGCACCATCCATCAGCAGCCTGTGGGGCCCAGAGCCAGCATTGCTGATCAGAGGAGGTGGAGGATGGGCCTGGCCAAAGGGATGCTCTGCAGGGAACCAGGTCCTTTCTGCAGCTTTCTGTCAGGAGCTTGGTGGCTGTCGTGGCAGCTTTTCTCTGAATGAATAACCCAGATTATACTGAGTCAGAAGATTTGTGCCCCAGTCAAAAACCCACTGGGACTTTCACTTCACTCCACCTCCCATTTCACCTTCAGTCCACTCCCATCAGACTGAACTTTTCCAGGCTGACATTAATGGGCTTTTCCTTCACATTTTAGATGACCACAGACCAAGCTGTTGGCAGGCCAGCAGCCATTTGAGCACTGCCAGACATTTTTCTAGATGGTGAACATCTTTCTTTGAGTTTGGGAGGTGTCTCCTGTGGGGAGCTGTGACCTCCTGCTGCTGGCACCCCAGAGAATGCAAACCTGCCTCCTGTGCAGCCTGAGCTACAGACACCAGCCAGCTTCTTCCCCCCACTGTAATTTTTTGGATCCCAGCCGTGTGTTGCTTATCATTGGTTCTGATCCCTAAAGCCGAGGTGCTGATTCTTATCTGCAGCTTCAGCCCGGCTTAAATCTTTATCTTCACTCAGTGAGTCTGAGCGCTGAGTGTGCAGAGACATTATTAGATTATTAAATCAATGACACTCAGGTTATTAGTCACACTCATCCGCATTACCTGACACTGTAATGACGTTCTATTTTTACTTCCAGCCTGCTAATGTCCCAGAGGTACTGAAATTATGACCAGAAAATTAATTTCTATACATTTGAACAAGAAATAGGAGTATAGGAAATAATCCCACATCGACAGTATAAATCCTAATGGAGTTGTTTAGAAAAGCAACAGGGAGAGGGAGAGGGTGGAGAGCAGTGTCTCACATGCAGCCTTCCCTCCGTGCTGCCATGCCAAACTCTGATGGGCGTGAGGGTTGCTAGTAACTGGGCCAAACTATTTTAGTTTGTAATTCATTTGGGGCAATTATGATTTCTGAGCTGGCATTACTGATTTTTCTCACTCAACCAAGACTTTCTTGCAGAATCCCACCACCAGGATGTTGCAACGGGCTTGTTTTTTAGGCGTGAAATCAAATCCTGTCAACAGAAAAAGGCCAGCACATGGCAAGATGTTGTTTACATTTKCAAAAATGACTCCTAAAGCTCAGRCAAATTATCATCCCAGTCCCCAGGCTGAGTTAAGAAGCGAGGTCCAATCTGATGACTCCTGAAGATTGAATTTAATGTTTTTTTCTGCTTTGCATGACTAACCATCTGCAAGCTGGGAGGAATTTGTTACTGTGGAAAAATACCACGGGAGATGCTCGATGTCCAGCCACACCCTTGTCCAGCAGAGCAGTACTGCAGCCACAGAGAGGCAGAAATGTGGCTCTGAGGGCTCTGCTCCCTGCTTTGATCCCATGAGTGRGAGCTGTAGGGTGGCTGTGGCTGTGGGGTGATGCCAGGGTGGGCTGGGCAGGGTGCTGGCATGGGGACAGACACCTGAAGGTGGGGGGTGGCTGGAAGAGGCAAACTCTGCGGGTCCCACAGCACCCAGCCAGCGTTCAGCTGGCAGGGAAAACTCCCACAGGGGAAAACAGTGGGGAGCAGATGGTGAAACACCCCACAAGGGAGAGCCGTTCACACCCTTTCCCCATGYCGCCCACAGCCCCAGATTCTTCCCAGTTCCCTGAATTTATTGATTACCAGGGACAAATCTCCACATTGCTTCATTATGACTTGGTTTTAACACACGTCTTCACACCGTATTTATTTCATGTTGGCAATTAATTCCAAAGTGCTCGCTGTGCCAGAAATGGAGCGGGGTGACTTTCCCAGCTCTTCCGCTGAGGATTTGCCACTTAAAACTGGAGAAATACGTGTGAGTATGGGGGTGGGAGTAAATCTTGGTGGTACCTGCTAAATGCTTATTGCAGGATGCTCTTGAAAGTGATGTTTGTAGTAGAATTATAATGAGCTRAGTTGTTTAGGTGTAATTAAAAGATGGGAGTGAGAACTTGCATTGAATTCCTTTTCTCTAAGTTTTGGGAACCTTCTAATAAGACATAAACATTTAGCAGCTCAGCTGGAGTATGGTGTRCTCTTTGGTTAAACATTAAAGGGACATTGTTGAGTGATTTTCATTAATTAGCTATGTTTTAAATGAAATCAGATCAATTTGGAACTGTTAGGCTCAAAATTAATGTTGTTTTCACCTGGTGGGGAACATCCTTTAAATTCTGAACATCTTAAAGACAATGAAAATTAAAAATGCYTTTAAGAAATTGCATCCCCATGGTTCCCTTTTCTCAGAAAATGTCCACTATTCTGATGATCTGGCATTTCTGTCATTACTGGAACAATGTTATGCCTAAATTAGAACCTTTTATGCTGTTTGCTACAACCAACATTTACACAGCATCTTSTAGACATGCAATTCYCRTGTCAAACCTGGCATGCAGAGTCTTGAATGTACTCTTTTCCCCTTTTATTACAACTTTACATGGTGCTGCACTMCCAGGTAAGGAAGGTGGGCGAGTAACTGGGGTTTAATGTGGTTTCTGAACACAAGTGGGATGTGGGTAATGTACACTCAGCCTCCAGTATCTGTGAGATTCCTGCCCYGTTTTAGCCACTTTGGGTAGTGGGAGAAAAATGTCAAGGTTTGTAGAATTCCTACAGGTGTTGTGAAAAATCCACAGCTGGCACAGGGAGGGAGTCCAGGGGAGTATCTGCACCGAAGGGAGATGGAGCACAGTGAGATCCAAGGGGGAGGTGATGGGTGCCGTGCAGTTCTCTGGTTTGTGGAGGAAAGGCATTTCTATTCTTCTTCTTCTTGCTGTTTTAGGAAAAAAAAAAAAAAAAAAAAAAAAAAAAAAAAGAAGGAAAGAAACAAAAGGAAAATTTGGGCAGTTCTTCTTAGGCCAGCACAATACTATATATTATCTTAGATGCCTTGTATTAGATTTTGTGGGGGGGGAATCAACACAAACTCCCCGTGACACAACAGGCTGTAACTGCTGGAAGCTGTTATGTGCTATTACATGAAGCCTTTACAGTCTATTGAGTAAATAATCTACAGATTAAAGCTTTCTGAGTACACAGTGACGGGATAGGTAACCAAAGAAGCCATTACGATATGTCATGTCAATAAGAGGAGGATTAAGGTGCCTCACACTYGGTGCAGTGACAGTCTGTGAAACAAAAGCCATCTCCTCCCAAACTCTCTGCAGTGCTGTGGTGCCCTGGGGCTGGGGACCAGGGGTTTGGACAGGGGCAGCTGCTCCTGCCCTCCTTTATTGCAGCCCATCCTGTGCAAATCAGGGATGCTGCTCTGCCTCCAACCTCCCGGGCTCACCTGCTCCCGTGCTGTGGAGCCAGGGCCATCTGCCATGGAGGAAGGAGCAAACCATGAGCKGGGAGCAGCTCCCAGCTCTCTTTATGGAAATTAAGCGGTGTTTTCTTTCTGAAAGCTGGAGCAATGTGTGTGCGGAGAGCTGGGCTGCGAGGCAGAGGGACAGGAGGAGGTGAAGCCCTGACAGCTCATGCWGGGGAGGAATCAGGGTGCTGGGGGGGAAGCCAAAGGGTTTTCCTGCAGCCAGGGTGGTTTCTGCCTTCCTCCCTTGGACATCCCTCTCCCTTGGACATCCATCACCCACTCACCACCCTGATTGCACAATGTTCCTGTCTCCTGCCAGCCCATGCAGGGGAGGAATCAGAGTGCTGGGGGAGAAGCCAAGGGGTTTTCCTGCAGCCAGGGAGGTTTCTGCCTTCCTCCCTTGGACATCCATCACCCACTCACCACTTTGACTGCACAGTGCTCCTCTCTCCTGCTCAGCTCCCAGCTCAGAGCTTCCCCAGCCCCCAGGRCACCCTGGTTCTTTGGGGAGCCCTCCTGAGCCTCCTCCTTTTGCAGGGGCCTCCTGGCTGAGGCACATCCACCATCCCACCTCCCCCCACGACATTTAATTACTCCAGGTTTCCAGTCGCTCTGGTGAGTTTAATATGAGCTATGTAAATTCCTCCCAAGAATGATAGGATTTTGACAGCCTGATTTGCCTCGCAGGCATCCTCAAACCAGCTCATTTTCTCTTCTCTGGAATTTTTGAGTGGTCGGGTGGCATTTGATTATCATTGGCTGGCATATCTGAGCTCTGGGGTTGAGCATAAAGATATTTTAAATTTAATAGGTTTAAGATGTCATTATTTCCATGCTGATGAATTTATACTTGTAACCAGAGAAACTTAG